AAGACCCTGTCTCTAAAAGAAAACAAGAGTCAGGCAGGGGTGGCATACACCTTTGTTCCCAGCTCTGGGGAGGCAGAGGCAGGTGGATCTGTAAGTCTGAGGCCAGCCTGGTCTACAAAGTGAGTTCCAGGACAACCAGGGCTGTTATACAGAGAAACCTTGTCTCAAAAAAACCACAAAACAAAACTATTGTTTTTCAAACTTTCTTTGTCTTTTTTTTCTCCAAAGAGGTAAACTTTGTTGTCTCCATTGCAGAATTCTAAAGTGATCATGCTCAAGCTCAGATCAAGATTAAAAGGAAGCAATTATAAGTGTTAGAACTGGTCATGATGCTTATGACTCATGTGTCTGTGCTCTAATATTTTTGAAAAGTATAGACGGTTGCTATATCAACTTGCCTTTTCACTTTTGAGTGAGTCCATTCAATATAGCTGGTATATCTGGCAAGAATACTATGGAACAGATTAATCTTCTTAAGGAATTATTTGTAAGACAAGGTTTCCCTGTGGAACACAAGCTGGCTACAACTCACTGTGTAGCCCAGACTTGCTGCAATTCTTCTGCCTTAGCTTCTCTAGTGTCCTGGTTAGAGAAATAATGTACTAACCAAGCCCTGCTTCTTAGAGTATCCCATCAAAAGGTATTTGACCTTAGCATGTCCCATTATCGATATAATCATTTAATCAAAGCCCTGTGATCCAGATTTCTACACTTTAAAATCACTGCTGTCCCTTTGTAATTAAAAAGGATCTTGTGGGGAATCTCCTGAGTAAATTGGGAGCATGGGGATCATGGAAGAGAGTAAAAGGGGAGAAGAGAAAATACATAGCTCAATAAAAGCAATAAAAAAGAACAAATACATCCTAAAAAATTTTTAAAAGGAGGGTTTGGCAAAAAGAAAGTGAATAACTTATAAAGAATGCATTGTGACTAACAATCCTGGTTTGTTTGTATATTTGGTTTAGTTTGGTTTGGTTTGGTTTTTGAGACAGGGTTTCTCTTTAGCTTTGAAGCCTTTCCTGGAACTTGCTCTTGTAGACCAGGATGGCCTCGAACTAACAGAGATCCACCTGCCTCTGCCTCCCGAGTGCTAGGATTAAAGGCATGCACCACCACTGCCTGGTGACCATCTTGTTCAGAATCAAATTTTGATTCATTATGTTTTGTATCCATTGGTGATTCTGTACCATATTGTGTTCATATGGTCATATACCTGAAGTAATATAAATCAGCATTCAACAAAAACCCTTGAATGCCCATGCTTATTTTAGTATGCTTGTTTGCTTATGTCTTTGTTTCTTTCTTTGCGACAGGATCTCATGCTGTAGCCCAGGCTGGTCTGGAATTTACTACGGAACCAAGGCTGGTCTCAATCTCATGACAATATGCCTGCTTCAGCTTCCCAAGAGCTAGGATTATAGATGTGAGATGCCACACTTTAAATTTTCTTTTAAATTTTGGAGATAAGCTCTCATTAAGTTTGCCCACATTAGCTGATAACTCACTCTGTAGTCCAGACCGGCTTTGAAATTACATTCCTTCTGCTTCAACCCCCAGAGTAGCTCGAATTAAGCTGCCCCTTGAGGCCAGGTTTAATTTTTTTTAATATTTATTTATTTATTATGTATACAATATTCTGTCTGCGTGTATGTCTGCAGGCCAGAAGAGGGCACCAGACTTCATTACAGATGGTTGTGAGCCACCATGTGATTGCTGGGAATTGAACTTAGGACCTTTGGAAGAGCAGGCAATGCTCTTAACCTCTGAGCCATCTCTCCAGCCCCCAGGTTTAATTTTTTATTTACTATTTTCACATTTTTTTCTCTTCTTTGAGACTGGACTCACCATGTAACCCAAGATGGCATCAAACTTGTGATTCTCCTGCTTCTACATGTCAACTGCTGGGATTACATGTATATGCCACCACATGTGGGTATTGTATTGTCTGTCTCTTCTCTTCTCTGTGTTTTAACGAGACAAGGTTTCTTGTAGCTCAGGGTGGAACTCCCTACATAGCTTAGGCTGATATTGAACTCCTGAACCTCCTGCCTCTATCTCTTGAGTGCTTGGCTTAAAGGTATGCACCAACATGGTCATCTTATTTCCTATCTCTTTATGTTGAGACCAGTTACTTTCCTTTCAACACACATCTCTTTAACTCTCCAAATAATCTGGGGGTGGGGGTTGCTTTCCAATAGGACCTGAAAGAGTAATCATATAATATGTTCCACACACTCAAAATAAATGCAACTTGAACTTGAGAGATAGCTCTGTGGTAAAATGCTTTCCCAGCTTTACTGGGGTCCTGTACTCAATCCCTTGCACTGAAAATAAGTAAATCCAAATTATAAGCAGATTGCTTTTATTTTGCTGTTATTTGTAATTTTTCTTCTTGAGGGCTTTATCATTGTCAAGTGAATCACCTCAGTTTTATAATTCTTTATAATACAGTAAACAGAACTGGACCAAGAAACCAAGCTGCTTCCTCAGCTGGAAAGCATTATCGTTAATTTTAGGTAAGAGTAGTGAATGTTTGATGCAAACTTGCTGAGACTATTAAAGATCTTTAAACAGAGGGACATGTTTCTTCACAATCTTACTTTTGCTCCCACCAACAAAACAAACCAAATAGTAAAAGGCATGTGTTTTCTGCAATGCCCTCTTGGTCCTCTAAGTTTTTAGTGAAGAGTTTAAAAATGCCATTAATAAATTTGAAACCCTTCTTTAGGGGCCATGACAATTGTCTTGTGTTATTCCAAACTTAGTATATGTGCTGCCAAAAAGCCCCCCCAAAAAACCTACACTTTTTAAAATTTTATTTGCATGCATGCATGCGTGTGGGGGGACACACATATACTATGGTGCATATGTGGAGGATGAAGGACAGTTTGCAAGAGTTGGTTCTCTCTACCATGTCGGCCCTGGGGATTGAATTCAGATTGGGTTTGGCAACAAGTGTCTTTATCAGCTGTGCTGAGCTATCATACCAGTCCACACTTTTGATAGGTCTAGGTATGTAGCCCAGGCTGGCCTCAAACTTGTAGTATCTAGCCTCAGCTTCCCAGTGCCGAGATTACAGTATTTTTCTTTCATGTGAGGGGGTACCGATAGATTTTTCTGTCCCCTGATAATAAGTTTCTCCACCAATTTATTAAGTCAGATCAAGCTGAATTTGAAAAAGTAGAACAGGATTATTTGAGCAAAGCAAATTCAGGGTGGGTTCGCTAGTCCCAGAGATAAGGCTGGAGAAGCCACACATCTGAAATAAAGCAGGGAGTTTAGATATCCTGTAGGCGAGGAGTGGTGACAGGTCTGCCACAAACTGGTTTTGTGCCCAAGTATGGTCAAAAGCTGAATGCTTAGGCGAGGGTTTGCAGAGAGAGAGAGAGAAACAGGAATGGGGCTTTTTCCAGATCACGCAGCGTGATCTGGGGGTTTCAACCAAATATATGTATATGTGTGTATATGTGTATTTATACATATACATTATATGATATATATGTTATGCACATGTGCATACACATACATACAGGTTTTCCATGTCAAGCTCTGACTGACTGTACTGGAACTCCCTCTGTATACTAGGCTGGCCTTCATTTCACAGATCCACCTGCATGCCGTCTGCCTTCCCAGTGCTGGGATGAATGGTGTGAACCATCATGCCTGGCTAGAATATTGTTTTATTATTTTAAACCATATATGTTTGTGTCTGTTTTACCATGTGCACCTAGAACAGATGTCTGAGGAGGCCATGAAATCCTGGCCCCAAGAGCTGGAGTTACAGACAGTTGTGAGCACCTCACCACGGGTGATGGGAACAGAACTCAAGCCATCTTCAAGAACAGTATACACTGAAAAAAGGAAAAAAGAAAGCCGGGTGGTGGTGGCATATGCCTTTCATCCCAGGAGGCAGATCTATGAATTCGAAGACAGTCTGGTCTACAAAGTAAGATCCAGAATAGATAGCCAGGATTGTTACATAGAGAAACGCTGTCTCAACACACACACACACACACACACACACACACACACACACACACACACACTACTGTGTGTATATGAATGTTTGGGCCACATGGAAGTATGTGCACCAGGTCCCTGTGGACGTCAGAATAAGGCATCAGAATCCCCCCCCCCAACTGGAAATTTGGTCGGTTGTTAGCTGCCATAGGGGTGCTGGGAGTGTCCTTCGCAAGAACAGTTAAATATTCTTTTTTGTTGTTTTTTGTTTTGTTTTGTTTTGTTTTTCGAGACAGGGTTTCTCTGTGGTTTTGGAGCCTGTCCTGGAACTAGTTCTTGTAGACCAGGCTGGTATCGAACTCACAGAGATCTGCCTGCCTCTGCCTCCCAAGTGCTGGGATTAAAGGCGTGCGCCACCAACGCCCGGCCAGTTAAATATTCTTAACTGAGACATTTCTCCAAACGCTCTTACATAATATTATACTAAAGTAGGTTTCTAAAATACGGCTTTTGATCTAAGATCTCTTGTAGCCCAGGCTAAATTGGAACCTCCCATTTCCACCTCCCAAATGCTGAGATTTTGGTTGTGAGAAACCACGAGGGCTCTTTTTTTTTTTTTGAGACAATCTTACATTGCTCAGGCTGGCCTGGAACCCTGGCAATGTAGCCAAAAACGACCAAATGTTTGGATTAGAGGCTTGCGTTACTTAGGCCGGCTACAATTTGAAACAATTCTACGCTGTCTAGAGGATGATTCCATTTTTAAACGTACAAACCATTTTGTTCAACACTTCCCTCCAAAAAATACTAGCGCCGCCTTGCACAGCTGCGCATGCGCATTGAAATTCGCAACCAGCGACGTCTTCTCGCACCACGAAAGGGGCGGTGCAGCCATTTTAGCAAACCAATAAGAAACCTCCAGATTATCTTTTCCCTATTGGTTCCCTGGAACCAATCGGAAGCGAACTGCTTTTTTTTAGCGGGCGTCTGCGGAGCGTGATGTAATGTGAGGGGTCGCCCGGCAGGGCTGAGCCGGGCCAATGGGGAGCGACAAGGGTTCGGCTCGCCCATTCTCACGCCCCACCCTCGGACCTTGCTGGAAGAAAGTTTCGCCCGGCCGCCAAGGGATGCGAGCGAACATGGCCTCGCCGAGGTGGCTCTGGTGTGCGTGTGCGACCGCGGCGGTGGCACTGCTGCTCATCTCCAGGCTTCCCTCGGCCTCTGCCCAAAGAAAGAAGGAGGTGAGGCGGCGCCTGCCAGCGCCAGGGACTTTCTCGACTTGGAGCTAGAGAGGGTCAGCTCGCTCCTTCCCCAGGATGTGTGCTGGGCGTGACTTGGATTCCGCCTTTGGGAGGAAGTTGGCCTCACAAAAGCGGGAGCTGTAACTTCTTGTGTTTTGGAGTCTCGAATCCAAAAGCAGGCTGGAGCGGGTGACCAGCTGGCTTCCAGCAGCTGGAAAATGTGCACCTATAAGTTGTGACACTTCTGGAGTTCGGGCCGTTTGGGGGGTTGGACTGAGAAGCCCGATTTGCTAACCAGAGGGTATAATGCAAGCTTCTGTTGTCGACCATGTCGCTTCCTCTGGCGTGTGTTAGGGCTGTCTTGTCCGCTCAGGAGTTGAAGTAGATAAACGAAATGATGCCATTCGTGCCCGTTTATCAGCGTGCTCGGCTGTGTTCTGTTTGCTTGATAGACACGAATGAGCAAACTGAGACACCCCACGCCACCCCTTTGTGAAACAGACTTTGCGATGTGGAAGACATGCAATATCCTTTCTGTCTATTTTTGTTCTGTTTCCTTTGAAGCATTCTCCTACTGTAGCCCATGCTGGCCTTGTTCTCATGAAAATCCTCCTGCATTTGCCTTCCAAGTGTTGGGGTTACAGGTGTGAGCCGCGACACCCAGCTGTATTTTTTAGCTTGATATTTAGCAGTCCAAACAGATGAATCTTAGCACTGTGTTTTTGAACATTTGTAACTTAGAACCATATACCCTTATAAGTTAAAAGAGTACTAACAATTAGTAACAATTATTTATACCGTCTAATTTTATAGGTAAGGAAAACCAACCCTAGGTTTACACAGTTAACTTCTGTAGTTAAAGTAGACTAAAGCCCTTCATTCCAATGCTATTTCCTGTGCTTTCTGCACTGTCTCGAGTATATAAAACCTATGTGCACATTTTTGAAATGCCCGCAAAACATTACAGCTGTTAAGTTAAATTAGTAAATAAACTAATTTCTATATCTGAGTATTTGAATTATTTCATAAGACTAAAAACTAAGCTAAGCCTGGCATGGTGACCATGCCTGTATTCAAAACATCGTAGTGAAAGAGGAACAGGAATTCAGTATCATCCAAGTGAGTTGGAGACTAGTCTGGGCTACCCGAGACCCTATTTGAAAAAACAAAAACTAGCAAATGAAAACATTGAATTAGGGAAGGTGGCAAAGAGGAAAGTAAAAATACAATTAGCAAAGATATGATCTAGTGAGCAGCCTTTATGCTAGGCCAAGAAATTGATATGACTTTTTATGTTTTTTGAGCGTTCAGTTCATGGATAGATGCTCACCAGCTCCTTGGAGGCCTAAGAGGGTATGGAATCACCTGGAACTATAGTTGACAGTTGTGACCTGCCATGTGGGAGCTAGGCACCAATCCCAATTGCTGTGCAAAGGCATCAAGAACTCTTAACATGAATTAGCTCTCTAGCCTCTGATGTGACTTTTTGAAAGAATCCTAATCTATTCTTTTTTGGTGGGGATGGGGTTGGAATTCAAGACTGAATTTCTCTTTGTGTAGCCTTGGCTGTCCTGGAACTCATCTGTAGACCAGGCGGACCTCAACTCAGAGATCCATGTGCCTCTGCCTCCCAAGTGCTGAGTTAAAGGTGTGTGCCACCACTGCCCAGCCCAAGCCATTCTTTGTAGAAAACAATATGCAAGGCAGTACATAATTTTGTACCCTTAAAGTCCTGGTTTTAAGCTGTAAGTTAGTGTATCTATCTAGGGAAAACTGTTAGAACATAACAATACCTTAGCAGCTGCTATGTCTGGACATTTAGTAATGTTGGTAAAGGAAATGCTTTCACGTTTTGCCCTGTATATTGGTATTGTTTTAAGAGAAAGAGTAAGTCATTCCTGTGGACATTTAGACAAGTTTTTGGTACATATTCCACACTGGCCTTGAATTCCTCTGGGGTGCCAGAATCAAAAAGTAAGTGTTTTGCTCCGTGGCCTAAACTGGCCTTGAGCTTTTGGTCCTCCTGCTTCAGACTACCCAGTGTTAGAATTAAAGGTGTCTGCCACCATGCCTGGTCACTTACTCTTTTTAAAGATTTCCTTTTATTTTTAAGTAATTAAAAATTAGGTATATGAATGTTTACCTGGTGCCATTGGATGTTAGAGCATCAGAGCCCCTGGAACTGGAGTTACAAATGGTTTTGGGCCCCTATATGGGTGCTGAAAATATCTGGTCCTCTGCAAAAACAGCAAATAAATGCTCTTAACTGGCTAAACCATCTCTTAAGATGTGCGTGTATGCCTGCGTGTGCATGCGCACACGTGTGCGACTTGTGCGTAGGTTCCAGTGGAAGCGGGACTACCCAGAGCTGAAGTTACAGGCTATTATAAGCTGACCGATGTGGGCGATGGGAATTGAAGGGTCCTCTGGAAGATCTGAGTTATCTCTTTGGTCCCTTAACTTTTATTTACTTGTTTGTTAGTTTGTATGGGGAGGGGGTGTCAAGTGCCACTACACACATGTGGAGGCCGAAAGATAAATTGCAGGCGTAAGTTCTCTCCTACCATATGGCACCCCGGTGATGAAACTCAGATCATCAGGCTTGGTGACAAGCACCTTTACCCATGAGCCATCTCACTGGCCCCCGCTTAATCTTTTAAAATAAAGGTGTGGGGTTCTTCTTTGTTGCTTGTTTGTTATGAGACAAGGTCTCCTGAAACTAGCGCAGGCCAGCCTCATACTCTCTGAGGACATGAGATCACCTTAAACTCCTGCTTTCTTTTTAGGTGCTGGGATTATAGGAGTGTCCTACCAAGCCCAGCAGAAAGGGTGAAGGGCTTGTAAGCTTAGAAGTTCCATCAGTGAAATTATGTTTAGTAATTTTTATTGAACTAAAACCATGAATGCCTATTAGAAAGTAGATTTCTTGTGGGGGGCAGCTAGAGAGATGGCTCAGCAGTCTGTCTTGCAGTGCTCTTGCAGAGTACCTGGGTTCAGTCCACATGGTGGCTCACAGTCTTTTTTTTTTTTCGAGACAGGGTTTCTCCATAGCTTTTTGGTTCCTCTCCTGGAACTAGCTCTTGTAGACCAGGCTGGCCTCGAACTCACAGAGATCCGCCTGCCTCTACCTCCCGAGTGCTGGTATTAAAGGCGTGCGCCACCACCACCCGGCACTCAAAGTCATTATTAACATCAGATCCTGAGGACTTGATACTCTCTTGTGACTTGTACACATGCATACATGTAGATAAAACACAAATCTGTTTAAAAAATTGTTTACTTTTTAGAGGAATATACTAAATTGTATATTTTTAAATGGTTAATCTGGATTTTATGTTACATAAATTTTGCCCCAATAACTTTTTTAAATAATCTGATTCTAACTTCCTTTTATTCAGACTTTGAAAATTACATTAACTACTTATCTGGCTGACCTTTAACCTATCCTTTTTTATGTATATCAAAGGACATTATCATAAACAGGCTATAAGTACAACAACAAAGAAATCTGGGAAATGTAACTCAGTGGTTTTTTTTTTAATTAAGAAAAATATTTTCCAAGGGTCCGAGTCCTTAATGTCGGAAATCCATAACCAAGATACAGAAAAAAAGTTAGTGTCCATTGACCACTATGCAACAGAGTAACAAATACTGTCAACAGAAGTCAGAGTTCCAAGCCAGTGAAATAGCTCAGTGGTAGGTAGAGTGCTTGCCTATCCTGCATAAGGCCCTGTGAAATAGCCAGTGAAATAGCTCAGTGGTAGGTAGAGTGCTTGCCTATCCTGCATAAGGCCCTGTTGACCCATTTTTTGCTTCCAGAAGTGCTAATACAAAAAACCTGAAAACCTCTTAACCTACTTTACAGAGTAGAAAAATGGCCTCTATAGCTCCTGTATTCTGCTTCAACCAGCCTCGTATCAGTCCAGGATTCTTGGTTTTCTCTGTGTAGCCCTGACTGTCCTGAACTTGGTCTGTAGACCAGGCTTGTTGTTTGCATGTTTGCTTTTTGAGACAGGGTTTCTCTGTGTTACAGCCCTGGCTGTCCTGGAACTCGCTCTATTTTGGAGGCTGGAAAGGTAACTTAGTGGTCTGTAGTGCTTCTGCAGAGGACCCGAGTTCAATTCCAAGCACTTATGTCAGGCAGCTTACAACCACCTGTAACTCCAGCTCCAGGAATCTGGCTCCTCTGGCCTCTGTGGGCTCCTGAACTCAAGTGCCCACACCTAACTCACATGCACATACCTATACACAGAAACATACACATAACTAAAAAGAAATCTTTATGCACATGAATGTTTTGTCTGCACAAAGACATATGTGACGTGCATGCAGTGCCCATAGAGGCTAAAAGAGGGTGTCAGTTCTGACCCTAGAGTTACAGACAGTTGTGAGCTACCATGTGGATGCTGGAAACCAAAATTGTATCTCTGCAAGAATAGCAAGTGCTCTTAACCAAGTACTGCCAGCTGAGCTATATCCTCAGGCAAGACCTTGTTTTAAATTTTTTTATTTTCTTTCTGTATGTGTATCTGTGTGAGTGTGTATATGTGTGTAGGAGAGTCTGCAGATGCCACAAGATGGGGTTTAAATCCCTTAGAGATGGGGTTACAGACATTTGTGGACTGTCTGACTTGGGTGTTAGGCTCTCAGTCATTTGAGAGGCTGAGGCAGGAACATATTCTGAGTTTCAGGTCAGCCTGGGTTTCCCAGACCATACCTAATCTCTGCAGCACTGACAAATATCCTGGGGCTTCATGTATGCTAGGCAAGAATTCTACCCACTGAGCTACATCCCCAGCCAGGACCTTGTTTTAAATATTTTTTATTTTACTTATATGCGTATATGTGTATGTGTGTTAGTTCCTGCAGATACCAGAAAGTGGAGTCAGATTTCTTGGAGTTGGAATTATAGGCGTTTGTGGGATTTCTTAGAAATATGGGTGCTGAGCTTCCAACTTGAGTCCTCATAATTGAGCAGCAAGTGCTTACTGCTGAGCCAT